TTGTTGTTGTTGTTGGGGGCGATGTACACTGAAGCACTCAGGAATATATAATAATTCAAACAACCAAAGGGCATACACTGCAAGCCGGCCTACCCCCCCACCCCACCCTGCCTCCATCTCTGCTGTTGCTGCTTCTCTGGATAGGGTCCCACACTCTGCTCTTCTCCTTTGTTGGTCCCAGTATCCTCCACTGCTGGAGTGCAAGATCAACCACTCCCCTCCTTTTGTTACAAAACGTCTACCTTTACATTTGCAACAATCACAATTAGTCCTGATAACAATTATTCACTATTGAACTACAAGAATCTTATCCCCATCTCTTTTCACCAGCCCCTGTCTAGACAGATTGAAAACCACTCAGTGGAGGTTCTACCTTCCCCCGCACCCTCTGAAACTAAAACTCCCTCTTGAAACTTGTAAGCCCGTCACTTTGCGCCTTTATAGGCCCCCATTTTAGGTAGCCAATATCTAACTTGCCCATCCCTGTCAACCCTTTGTACAAAGGGGGTGGGAATGATCCTTGCTGTAAATATTCATTCCCTCTTTTAAGCTACTACATCCATAAGTATAGGTCAAGTTCATCAAATTGTAGTGGATTACACTATTTTTCATCTTTTTTTCTTCCTCTTCCTCTAGTCAAGTTCTGATATCCAGCCATTGAAGCTAGGTCAAATGGGTACTATCTGCAAGTATGGGCATTCTTATGCATCTCCCCTTTCTTCATATCAGCTGGACACTTCACTGTCTGCTCTAGCCCTCTGTGGCCATGTCCCTGTCCATGGGCTCAGGAGTCCCCAGGTCTCCTCATACTGCTGGCCAACCAGGTTTCACTCCAGGTTGCTTTGAATGTGGTCGGACTCAGCCACATCTTCATTGCTGCCTTTCCCCCACTTCTCCTTACTGGTAGACCAATATGGTTGCCAGCAAGATAACATTCCTGTTCATTATACAAGTTTTTAAGACCCTAGTTGTTACTCACCAAAATAGGATGCAGAATACTGTCTTTGTGGACTGTGTTACACTAATTGACCTTGATATTGCCCGAGACTATGATACTGAGCCCCCAAGCCTAGTGACTCATTCCCTCAAGGTGTTTGGTTATGGCTACGAAGTTTTCAGATGTTCTACTATATTCATGACCTCCTGGTGTAGTGCTGTAGGATCAGCACTGGACTGCGAACCACAAGGTCAGCAATTCAAACCCACCAGCTGCTCCTTGTAAACCATATACAACTATATCCATGGATATATTTACAGCATAAGTAAATACATATGTAGAAATATCTTCTGTAAAACCTATGTATATTTATGGGTATATTCCTGTATGCCTTCCCACAACTGTTCAACTTGCATGTCTACCTATGTATTATTTCCACCATTTGTCTATCAGTTTGTCATACTGTAGTGGGTGGCTTGCATGTTGCTGTGATTCTGGAAAATATGCCACAGGTAATTTAAATACCAGCAGAGTCACCCATGGTAGACAGCTTTCAGCTAAGCTTCCAGATGAAGATAGGCTAGGAAGAAAGAGAGACGGACTACTTCTGGATATTTAGTCACTGAAAACCTTATGAGTAACAGTGGAACACTGTCAGCACCAGAATATTGAATACCGAAACATGATGAAGAGCACCAGAATATTGTCAGATATAGTGCTAGAAGATAAGCCCCTCAGGTTGGAAAGAAAAAAAAAACAAAAAACTTCACAACTGGACCAAAAATAATATCAAGATAAATGGAGAAAAGATTGAAGTTGTTCAAGACTTCATTTTGCTCAGATCAACCATCAACACTCACCAGCAGTCAAGACATCAAACGATGTATTGCATTATAGGCAAATCTGCTCTTCACACAAGACCTCTTTAAAGTGTTGAAGAGCAAAGATGTCAGTTTGAGGACTAAGGTGCACCTGACCCAAGTCATGGTATTTTGCATGCAAAAGCTGGACAGTAAATAAGGAAGAACATAGAAGCATTGATTCATTTGAGTTGTGTTAGAGGAGAATATTGGAATACCCTGGACTTCCAAAAGAACAAACCGATCTATCTTGGAAGAAGTACAGCCAGAGTGCTCCTTGGAAGCCAGGATGGCCAGACTTTATCTCTCATACTTCAGGCATATTATCAAGAAGACAGCAGTCCCTGGGAAGGATATCATGTTTGGTAAAGTAGAGGGTGAGAGAAAAAGAGAAAGACTCCCAACAAGATGGATTGGCACAGTGGCAGCAACAATGGGCTCAGGTGTAGCAACGATTGTGAGATTGGCTCAGGATCTTGCAGTGTTCCGTTCTGTTGTGCAAAGGGTTGCTATGAGTCAGTGCCAACAATGGCACCTAACAACAACAACATTACTATTATTGCGGGATTTTGTAGTAGTCACATATACTCATGTGTTCCTCCCAGTATTTTCCTTTGTCTTGATCATCTTGTGCTGACCTCCCCCTTACTGTATTTTGTCTTTCCCTTTACCTAAGTGGAGTCCTGGTGTGGTGCTGTGGATTAATGTGCCAGACTGCAAAGTTAGTTTGAACCACAAGTTCAGCAGTTCAAACTCACCAGCCGCTCCTCAGAAACCCTATACAGGGTTGCTATGGGTCAGAACCGACACCACGGCACTTAACAACAATAACAAGTGTCTATAGTTAGTTATTTACCCTTCCTTCCTCTCCCATCCCTGGTAATCTCCAAATATATATATTTTTTTCTGTGTGGAAACCTTTTCTTGACTTTGTAATAGTGATCTCATACAATATTTGTCCTTTTGTGATTGACTACTTTCACTTAGCATAATGTCCTCCAGCTTCATCTATGGTATGAGGTGCTTCCCAGATTCATTGTTATTCTTTACTGTTGGGCAGTATTTCAGAGTTTAGTCATTCATCTGTTGTTGGGCACTTAGGTTGTTTCCATGTTTACGCTATTGTGAATGATGCTGTACTGAAGGTGGGTGTGTATATATCTATTCATGTCCTTGCTCTTATTTCTGTAGGAAATATACCTCTTAGTAGGATTATTAATCACAAGATAAGTGGTTCAAACCTACCAGCCACTCCTGATAACCCTACACAGTGTCACTATGAGTCAGAACTGACTCAACAACACTTAAAAACAGTGGAATTGCTGTATTATATGGTACTTCTATTTCCAACTCTTAAACAAGCACCACACTGTTTTTCACAGTGGTTGTACTAGTTTACAGTCCCACCAGCAGTGTATGAGGGTTTCAGTTTCTCCACATTCTTACCAGCATTTGTTGTTTTCTGGTTTTTGTTTTTTTTTTTTCAATTTTGTCATTAATGCTGGACAAGATGATATCTCATTGTGATTTGCATCTTTCTAATGGCTTCAGTGTGGATTACATCTCAATGTAAAGAAAACAAAAATCCTCACCACTGGACCAATAAACAACATTCTTATCAATGGAGAAAAGATTGAAGTTGTCAAGGACTTCATTCTTCTTGGATCAACTATTAACACTCACAGAAGCAGCAGTTAAGAAATCAAACAATGTATTGCATTAGGCAAATCTGCTGCACAAGACCTTTTGAAAGTGTTAAAGAGCAAAGATGTCAACTTGAGGACTAAGGTACGCCTGACCCAAGTCATGGTATTTTCAATAACCTCATATGCATGCGAAAGCTGGACAGTGAATAAGGAAGACCATAGAAGAATTGATCCATTTGAGTTATGGTGTTGGAGGAGAATATTGAAAGTGCCATGGGCTGCCAAAAGAACCAATAGATCTGTTTTGGAAGAAGTGCAGCCAGAGTGCTCCTTGGAGGCCAAGATGGCCAAACTTTGTCTTTCATACTTCGGACATATTGTCAGGAGGGACCAGTTGCTGGAGAAGGATGTCATGTTTGGTAGGGTGGAGGGTCAGAAAAAAAGAGGAAGACCCCCCATGAGATGGATTGGCCAAGTGGCAGCATCAATGGACTCAAGTGTGGCAACAGTAGTGAGGTTGTCCCAGGATTGGTCAGTGTTTCATTCTGCTGTGTATATAAGGTTGCTATGAGTCAGTACTGACTCGATGGCACCTAACAACAACACAATGTCTAATGGTTGCCACCTGAATGTCTTCTTGGGTTGGATACTTTTTTTATAAATGATAATACATATGTTTAGTCTTCTTAATTGGTTTGTTGTGAGGATGAAATAAACAATATATAGCAAATGATTTTACAGCTATAAAGAACTAAAGTTTCTTTGTTTCAAGCCCTATGAAGTTCTTCTTTGGAGAGTCTTTTATTTTTGGCAAGGCTGTCCTACAATGTAGCAAATTCAAATAAATCCACCAATCCCATCCTTCGATCCTTTGGGCCTGGCCTGTACTTAGGGCAACTCAAGGTAGAAAATAACATGCTTTTCTACTTACTAGCTGACAGGGAATTCCACCAGGAGTTCTACCTCTCATACTCCTCCCTTTCTAACTTAAGCAAATAAATCCCAGAACATATCATGAGAATGAACATTGTTGTTAAAGTGCATTGAGTCAATTCCGACTCATAGCGACCCTATATGGGGTTTCTGAGGAGTGGCTGGTGGGTTTGAACCACTGACTTTGTGGTTAGCAGTCCAAGTTATAACACAAGTAACTCCTTCTAAGGGAAAGGTGGAATTTTAACTCCTAGGAAACAGGGTCAATAGAATAGAATAAGTATGATTAACCCCTATATTACTGGGAAGCCTGGCAAGCCATCACCTCATTCTAAACCCATGGCAACAGTTTTCCAACATCTCTAGCATCTGGGATTGCTGCATTTTAATTAGATTTTCACATGAATAAAAACTGGTGATGGTGGTAGGGGATGAGAGTAGGTATTAGTCAGAGATGCAGCATGGTGCCATTATTTGTCCTGAGCCCCCAAATCTGCTTCCCTAACTTCCATGCATCTATCTAATATAAAATATTAAAGCCAAAAAGAAGGGGCTACAAGATTATCATAAGATTACTTCATTCAATTTGCATAACTATCCTCTAAGAGTCTGATTTAAAGGGATTAGAGTTCAGGAAGGTTAAATAGCTTGCTCAGAGTTTCCCAACTAGTAGGTCAAAGAACTGGGAATTGGAACCCAAAATCATCCAGTCAAGTTCCCTCATTATTGAGACTAGGTTTAACTGGTTTGTTCAAGGTCACATAGCTGACTGGGGACAAAGTATAAACTGGAACCTTGGGAATTCTCCATATTCTGGGGCTGACGGGGACAGGGAGCTTGCTCTTCCCAGCAGACTGTTTATTTTCTACTTGGTTCCTTATGTCTTTCTCCAGGTTCTGCTTTTTCCCAGGCAGTTGATGGACAAGCCTACAGGGCGCTTCTTGGTCTCTCCAAGAGGCCAGCTGAACATTACTGAAGTGCAGAGAGGAGATGCTGGTTACTATGTGTGCCAGGCTGTCAGTGTGGCTGGCAGCATTCTGGCCAAGGCCCGGTTGGAGATAAAAGAAGGTATGTACCCATGGGATAGGGCTGGACTCATGGGTCTGTTGTCTGAGGAATGGCTGCTGGGTTTGAACAACTGATCTTGTGGTTAGCTGTCCAGTGCCATACCAGGACTCCAAACTCATGGATCTTGATGGTAATAATAGCTTAAAGAAGCCTGTTTCTCCTGGATTTTATATTATTTGTCTGCAAGAGGAGGGGTATATTCCTTAGGCATTTCCTTGAAGCAGAAACCACTAATACATGGCTGGTCCCAGGCAGAGCCTGTGGGTGGTTATTGAAACCCTCTCTGACTTCTGGGGGTTAAAGGAACCGGAGAATAAGGACCAAGGAGCTGGTTGCCTGTACCTAGGATCATTCCTGAGTTGCCCAAATTCTTCTTTTCTCAGCATCCTTGGATGGGCTGCCTCCAGTCATCCTCCAGGGACCACCCAATCAGACGCTGGCACTAGGCTCCTCTGTGTGGCTGCCATGCAGAGTAACAGGCAACCCTCAACCCAGTGTTCAGTGGAAGAAAGATGGGCAGTGGCTGCAAGGGGATGATCTCCAACTCAACCTATTGACCAATGGTACCCTGCACATTGCCAACGTGCAGGTGAGGCTCTCTTCTGGGCCCCAAGTAAATAACAGTGTCACCTGGTCTACAGTTCTACCTCCAGTGAGCATCCACTAAGATTGTTGTTGTTAAGTGCTGTCGACTCATAGCGACCCTGTATAGGGTTTCCAAAGAACAGCTGGTGTGTTTGAACCACCAACCTTGTGGTTCAAACTGACTTTGTGGCCCAGTGCTTATCCTACAGGGCCACCCCAGTACTGTCTACTAAGACTATTACCTCATTTATACCCCTCTGCTTTCTCAGATTACACCCTTCCATCTTTCTACCTTCTTTCAAGAAAATATACATCTTCCTCCTCCTTCTTTATACCTGCTTCCACCCCTTGACATCTCCTGCTCCAATTCCAGTGCATTTGTCAGTGCTCTGTCCCCTTCTGCAGAAGACAGATATGGGTCTTTACAGCTGTGTAGCTAAGAGTTCCACAGGCGAGGCCACATGGAACGGCTGGCTTAGGATGCAAGGTAAGTTTTTCTTCCTAGTCTCTTATTTTGCCAGCACCTTTTCACGAATCTGCTTCAAAGGCAGTCATTATCATCCAAAACCCCAGGACTTACTTTACTTTCCAAATGCCATTCTATGGTGGTGGGGACTAGAAACACAGCAGTGGTCCCCTCAGAACAGATATGAGTAGGGGTTAGTATGTCCTATCTCCCTTTCTGCCATCACCACTGTCATACCCAACAGCATCTCTGGGAAGGAAGCAGGTTACAGTGGGCCACTCTTTTCCCATTCTTCTGCTAAAAGATACTTTCTTCACTGCAGAAAATTGGGGCATGTCATCACAGCCCCCTATAGAACTCAGTATTCCTCCGGGGCCTCCCTCTCAGCCACTGGTCACTGAGATCACCAAGAACAGCATCACCCTGAGCTGGAAGCCCAATCAACAGGCTGGGTCCACAGTTACTTCTTATGTGATAGAGGCCTTTAGGTATGGAGAAAGTTTGAATGGAAATCTGAGAAAGCTAAAGAGAGGAGATTCTCTGTCCTCAAGGTGTTTGCTATTGTGGGGAGGAGTTCACCAATTCTGTCTTCCAGAGTGAGGAGTAGTAGGGGATCATAAAGAATGAATGAGATAGAGTAAACAGGTTGGGAATTCTTGGCTCAGACAACTTTGTTACCTTATTCCCGCTGCAGTCAAGCAACTGGCAACACATGGAAGACAGTGGCAGATGGTGTACAGTTGGAGACTCACACAGTCAGCGGTCTGCAGCCCAATACTGTCTACTTGTTCCTGGTTCGAGCTGTGGGTACCTGGGGTCTCAGTGAACCCAGCCCCATTTCTAAGCCTGTCCGCACCCAGGGTGAGTAAGGTCAGAGTCCTCACCCTATTGCAAAACCATGGTGCCATGACAATTCATAGATTTGTTTCTTGCTATGTCAGGTCTGTACTGGTGGTCTGACCTGGAATCGAAGGCCATGCTTCCCTCTCATGGAGGGAATGAGGGGGCAAAGATAGAAAGAGAGAGACACTGACTCATCATTGGTGATTTCTCATTTTTGTGCCTTTTACAAATAGCTAATATAGATTGTTAAGACTAGAAGAGATCATGGAGGAGCCAACTGCACGTTAGGGATACAGAACTGAGGCCTGGAAAAATGCATATATAGGTATGCAGAGCTAACACTCATGTTAGCTAGACACCAGGCTCACCTCTGAAAGCTACTCTCCTAACCAACCACTTCCTGACCCTAGGTTGCCAAGTACTACAGTCTGTGCGGAGGTAGGACACAACATACTCTTAGTACTATCTCTGTCCCTGCTGGCCCCTGCTAAATAGGCTCTTTGGTCAACAGAAAGCAGCCTCTTCCGGCAAGTGGAGGATCCATGGAGAGGCCAGAGAGGACTAGATGAAGTGGCTGTGCAAATGCAGGATCTCATAGTCCTTGGGCCACGGACCTTGAAGGTGTCCTGGACTGTAAGTGTGGCACAGGGATAATGATGAGGGCTATAAGAGCCTCTGAGAATGGGTGTGGGAGCGTGGGAGGTGAGTGGTTAGAGAAGGCAAGATAAGTAGAAGTGGGCATGGGCCTGGAGAACTGTGTGCCCTGGCCTCCCTTTCTGGTATGCTTTATTCTGTCTATTAAAGATGGATGGCCCAGTCCAGCTGGTACAAGGTTTCCGGGTGTCTTGGAGGATTGCAAGCCCTGATGGGAGAAACTGGACAGTGCTAGACCTAGAGTCCCCAAATCAGCAAAGTGCTGTGCTAAGAGGACTGCCCCCAGGGACCCAAATCCAGGTCAAGGTGCAAGCCCATGGCCAGGAGGGGCTGGGGAATGAAAGTCCCTTTGTGACCAGGAGCACTCCTGAGGAGGGTAAGAAGGGCCACAGAGCTGAGAAGTGGACAGGAGGGAAGAGTGAATAGGGAAGCATGAAAGTATGCAGGGGGAAAGCATGGTGAGTGGTTGGGAAGGAGGGATGCCTCTCAGTTCCCCAAGGTATTAAAACAGGGAGATGGAGGGTGGGGCACCTTTCAATGACTGTCTCTCTCACCATACTCCATCCTGGTTCAGCTCCCAGTGGCCCCCCACAGGGAGTAATAGTGACCTTGGGGGGTGATGGCAACAGCAGTATCACTGTATCATGGGAACCTCCACTCTTCTCTCAGCAAAATGGGATCATCAAGGAATACCAGGTACAGGGCTTGAGAAGGGACTAGGAGGGCTGGGGAAAGACAGGAGACAGAGGACCCAGATGCTAGAATCAGGGTGAGGGACCTGGGGCTTATTTGGGGTTGATGTTGGGGAGAGAAGAGAGGTTTCATAGTGTTGTCTCTGGACTAAATTATACCTAATTCTGAGGAGCCCTGGTGGTGCAGTGTGCTGCTAACTAACCAAAAGGTCCACTGAGTGAATGCAACAGCAGCATTGCTTTGGGGAAGAAAGATGTGGCAGCCTGTTTCTGAAAAGATTACAAGTTCTTTGGGGGCAATTCTTCTCTGTCCTGTAGGGTCACTATGAGTCAGAATCCACTAGACTGCATGATTTGGGGGTGGGGGGCGTCAAAATCCCTCTCTTATGGCATACAAGCTAAGCACTAGATAGAACTCACTCAGTGGCTCCTGGGACAAACACCTGGTGATCTGCTTTTGTAAAGAAAACCCTTATAGGGGTAGTTATGCTCCGTCAGCTCTGTCACCTGGGATCACTATGCGTTTGATTACATAGCACCTAACAACGAGGCCCCTCTACGATACAGAGCCTCCGGATCCCTAAACCTGGTTCTCCACCTCCCTAGATCTGGTGCCTAGGTAATGACAGTCGCCTCCACCTCAACCAGTCTGTGGCAGGCTGGGCACGCTCTGCTGTGCTCCGGGGACTATTGCCTGGCCTCCTCTACAGGACCCAGGTGGCGGCAGCCACCAGTGCAGGCGTGGGCGTGGCTAGCGCCCCGGTGATAGTGCAGCTGCGTAAGTCTGGAGGTGGGGATTGGGAAAGCTCGAGGACCACTGGGATATGAATGTGCCTGTGGTGTCAGGGACGCCCTCTACCCAGCTCTGGGGTTTTCAGGCCCCTCCTCCCCTTACCTCTCTGACTCCTACAGCATCCGCGTCAGAATTGGAGCCTGGACTCCAGGTGGGCTTGGGGCTGGCCAAGCGGCTGGCTAGGGTGCTGCGGAATCCTGCCTTCCTTGTGGGCAGCAGCGCCGCCTGCGGGGCGCTGCTCCTTGGGCTCTGCGCCGCTCTCTACCGGCGCCAGAAACTGCGTAAGGAGCTCAGCCACTACACGGGTGAGAGCCGGGCCTGGGAAGGGAGGACAAGGGCTAGAAGGGGACCTGGCCTGACGATCTCGAGGTTCAGGGAGAGAGGCTGTGCTGGTGGGGAGTAGAAGAACAAGGGGTCACAAAGGCAGCAGAGGCAGTCGAGGAGAGCAGGGGAAGGTGGTGTTGAACAAAGTGGGGACCAGAGCCAAGCATCACGTGAGGAGGGCGGGACCTGGATCACCGTAGAAGGCTAAGATTTGCCACTAAAACACCTCGGGTGGAGAGCAGCATCTGCAGCTTCGCCCCAGTAGTCTCTTCCTAAAAGGGGCGGGGCCTGGCAGGAGGGGAGTTGGCCAGTGTCCCCAGGCCGTAAACTTTGAGGGGGGGAGAAGGCGGGGCCTCCTAAAAGGAGGGGACCGGAGCTCTGCTTTTCAGGAGAGATTCTTGATGTTTCTTAGGCCACTGGTTCTCCTCTTTGGTTACTCATAGGAACCCGCTTCAGAAATATACTGATACCTGGATGCCTGAGTCCCAACCTCAGAAATTCTGATGAAGTTGACTCAGGGTGCAGCCTGGTGGTGGTGGAATGGGACCAGGGCTGAGTGGTGGACAAGAATCTGGGTATTTCTGACCCTTTTCCCATTTCCTCTCTTGTTTTCCCCACATGTTCCTTTTTGGAAGCCTCCTTTGCCTACACACCTGCAGGTAAGATATCTCTGCCCAGTGGGGTTCAGACCACAAGTATGGGCTCTTTTCTCACCTGATCTCCTCCTCATCTTCCCCAGTGTCCTTCCCACACTCTGAGGGCCTCTCTGGATCCGGTTCCAGGTAATTTCTTGACCCTGGGATAATTGCCTCAATTATCTCTTCTTTCTCTCTGGGCCTCTCTGTGTGTCCCATTGTGACCATCTCTCACTTTTCATCCCAAACACTACTATTACTGCCTTAAAACTCCCTTCCCTTTGCTGGCCTCTTTAAGATCTCATCCCCAAAGTTCACATGCTCTCCCTCAGACCACCCATCAGCCTTGGCCCTGCCTTGTATCCATGGCTGGCAGACTCCTGGCCCCACACAGCTCAAAGCTCCTCAGCTCAGGAACCTAGGGGAAGCTGCTGCCCCAGTAATCCTGATCCTGATGACAGATACTACAATGGTGAGGAGTTTTAATTCCTTCAAGGGCACACCTGGTCCCCAGCACCTTCTCTCCTCTCATCCTACTGGAGCAAATTGAAGGGAACCAGGAGTCCCAATTTACCTGAGGTTGGTTAGTCCTTGGGGAGAGGTTGGTCAGTCCTTGGTTGGATCTGAGTCTGGTGAATCTCTGTCAGACCTGACCTCTGTGAGCACCCTGATTTAGGTTATAAAGATTGGGGTGGAGGAAGAAATGGAGCCAATGGGATCTCCTCCTTTGCCCTCTAGTCTTTTCCCCTTGTCTTCTATCTGTGGCCCCTGTCTCTTCCCCTGGGTCTTCCTCTTTCTCCTCCACAGAAGCAGGGATCTCCTTCTACCTGGCTCAGATGGCCCGTGGCCCTGCAGCACCAGGTGCGGGCCCTGCCTACAGCACCACTGACTCAGCAGGAGAGGAGCTTCAGACCTTCCACGGGGGCTTCCCCCAACAATCCTCAGCAGATCCAGGCACCTGGAGCCAGTATGCTCCTCCAGAGTGGAGCCAGGGGGGCATTGGTATGAGTTCAATCTGCAACACCCTCACTTTAACGCTGACCAGAGTATCCCTCCAAACTCTTTCCTTCAACCAGCACTTTCTCTGACATGTCTGTCTCTTTCCTTCATGTATGTCTTCTCCTTACTCTCCTCAGAAGCCAGGGGAGGCAAAGTGAAGCTTCTGAGAAAACCTGTGCAAATGTCTTCTTCAAGCTGGCCAGAAGCTCTACCACCACCTCCCACTTCCTGTGAACTGAGCTGCTTAGAGGGGCCTGAGGAGGAGCTGGAGGGCAGGTAAGGATTCTGCCTCCTACAGATGCCCTATCTGCATAGAGTCTACCCTTCCCACACTCCAGAGGAGGGACGGTAGAAGAGGAAATGAAGGGGCAACAGGAAGACTGTTCCCCTTCTCCTGCCTTTTTAGCCCCAGCTCAGAGCCAGAAGACTGGTACCCACCAATGCCTGAGAGAACCCACTTGGAAGAACCTAACTCCAGTGGAGGGTGCTTGGTCACCTTGCCCAGAGGGGAAATCCCTTCTCCCACCCCCTCCTATGGACAGCAGTCCACAGCCACTCTTACTCCCTCACCTCCTGACCCTGTACAGCCACCCACTGATATTCCCCGTCTCTGTCAGATGCCCAGGTATGGAGATATATAGTACTTTGCACCTTATAAGCACTCAGTACATAATTGGATGGATGGATGAGTAGATGATGAAGAACAGAGGTCTCAGGACTGGGTCAAGGTGGAAGTGAGATTTGGAGAGGAAAGTGGGTACTGACAAGGTCTCTCATTATCCTCAGACAGGCTCTCTGTTGGAGTCACTCTTCTGAGGGCATTTCAAAGACTTAGTGCTTCCCATGCTTAAATATCTTGAAAGCGGTCATGGAGGAGGGGCTGTCTCATTTATTTGATTATTAGCTTGACTGTCTAGCACAAGGCCTGATATATATTGTTAACTGCCATCAAGTTGGTTCCAACTCATAGAGACCTTGTATTGGGTTTCTGAAGAATTACTGGTGAATTTGAACTGCTGAGCAGTCCAGTGCTTATCCTGTAGTGCCACACCAGGACTCCTGGTATATAGTACACTGAAGTATTTGTAAAGTGAACAAATGTAGAAGCCTCATGTCATTCCAGGAGAGTGAACCTTGGGCCAAGTTCCCCTCTTAGTGCATCCCAGCCCACTCTGAGTAACCATGAAGGAGGACTTGCTAGCTTGGTTTCTGGCCCTACAGCTTGTCATCACCTCAACCCCAGCCCTGTTCCTAGTTCAGCCAGCAGTGCCCCAGGTGAGTCTGTAGAACCTTCAACTCCCTCTCCTATTTCTTTGTAACCCTGCCTTGGAATTTTCCTTTCTGAAGCTCAGGTTCCTTTCCTGGTCCTTTTCCTTACCTGTTTCTCTCTTCATCCCTTAATGCTACAGAGAGAACACAGCAGGCTCATAGGGAGATGACTCCTCCACTTCAAGGACCCCAGACTCGATTCCGGAAGAAACTCAAGGCTCTTCCCTATAGACGGGAACACAGTCCTGGAGGTGAGGTGGTCATGGGTCTGAGAGGTGGAGATAGTAGTGGGGACAGACAGGAAACCAAGTGTGAGCTCTGGGGGCTGAAGGAAGGTGACAGGTAAACCAAATCTTGGGCTGCTCATTTGTAGTCTCATGGTAAGAGGGGCAAGGGTGGGAGAAATATTAGAATCAGGAGAAATAGGAGGCACTGCTGAACATACGTCTCTCTTTAGACTTGCCCCCACCACCCTTACCACCACCAGAGGAAGGGACCAGCTGGTCTTTAGGGCTGAGAGCAGCAGACACCATTTCTTCGTTGGAGCGGGAATGGAGTGGGGAAAGGAGAGCAGCCCAGGCAGTGCCCTTGGGTGCTCAGGAGTGCCCTCTCCCAGAAGGTAAGAAGGCAGGGTAGGCGGTAGGGCCAGCTGCTACTCAAGAAGCTGGGCTGTGGAACTGGAGAATGTGCCAATAATGGATTTTCAATCCAGCTCACTCCTTTGACCACATTTGATCAATATCAGAGACTCACACCCTCTGAGGAAGATCTCTGAAATCCCCAAATCTTTTTCTAGGGCTGGAAACCCAGCTATGAGAACAGTGGAATCTGGGTGCTCTGTCTCTCCTCCTCTGCTTAGGAATTGCCTGTCTGTTTCTGAGCACCTCTTATGTCAGGCTGTGTGCTGGCACTCTGTTCCTCCTCAGTCTCTAGCATGTGCCTGCCCTAAATTCTTCTCCCAGGGTAGAAAATGGGGGGAGCACCGATGTTCTGCTCCCTGCCTGGGTCCAGTTCTCCTTTTCTTTTGTGCAGCAGAAGAATCTTGGCCCCCATACAGCAGGCTAAGCTTCCTGTGCAGAGGCCAGGGCACCAGCACCTGTTCTACCACTGGCAGCAACTCGTCTCGAGGCTCTGGCAGCTCTCGGGGTTCCCGGGAACCTGGACAGAATCGGAGCCGGAACCGGAACCGAAGCCAGAGCCAAAAGCCAGGACAGAAGTGTCAAGAGGTGGGGACTAGGAAGGGTGGGCAAGGGGTGGCTGAAAATAGAAAGAAAGGTATTTGCAGAGGAAGTGTCAAAAGGAAGGGACCTATGAGTAAGGATGAGGGGAGGAATCTGGAAAACTATGAGTAATGAGGGCAAATGCCACATTATAGAGAATTCTGGGCTTCTCTTCCCCCAGTAACCTGGGTGTTGCAAACAGTTAACATGATTGGCTGCTAAGTGAAAGGTTTGAGGTTAAGTCCACCCTAGGCTTCTTTATAGGCTTACTAAGAAGAAACAGTTGGTGATTTATTTCTGAAAAATTAGCCATTGAAAATCCTTTGGAGGATCATGGCTTCATGATATTGTGTTTAGTGCTTCTGTTCTACCTGCTAGTTCGTTGTATAGTACCTGGGGTCTTAAAAACTTACAAGCTATGCAGTAATTAATCTCTATTCACCTGGAGCAACAGAGGAAGAAGGAGGGCCAGGAACAGAAGGAGACTATAGAATGTGTGGCTAATTGCTCCTATGAATAACTGCCTCCTTTGCCATGAGACCAAAAGAACTGGATGATGCCTGGCAACTATTAATGAACACTTTGATAAAAAAATTTTATAGGAGAATCTATAATAGAAAGTGGGGAAATGAAAAACAGAATTTCAAATTGTCATGGACTACAGACTTCCTGGATCTGTGGTAGGGTAGTGGATTAAGAGCTGAGCTGCTAACCACAGTAGTTCAAATCTTCTAGTCACTCCATGGGACAGATATGAGCTTTCTGCTCCCCTAAAGATTTATAGCTTGGGAAACCCTATAGAGGATTGCTATGATTGGAACCAACTTGGTGGCACACAACTAGCAACCACCACTAGACTTCCTGGAGTAATGAAGGTTGGATGAACCCCTGAAACTATTGCTTTGAGATAATCCTGAAACCTTAAATATATTCCCTTGATGTCTACTTAAAACCTAAAAATAATTTAGAATAACTAGTAAAAAGTATCTGCCTTGAGCACTATACTCTTTTAAGAACTGCCTATATGGGATCAAAGTGACAACAGCAAATCAAAAGCTTAGATAGGAACCTTAGAGGCAATGGATTTATCTTAATGGGAGGAAAAGAATGGTTACACAACTCAAAGATTGTAATCAATGTCACTAAATAGTACATGTTGAGTTGGTGTATGTTTTGCTGTGTACATTTTCAACAACAGCAGCAAAATAAACACAATTTTAAAAGATAACCCTACGGAACACAGTTCTTTTACTCTGGCACAAACTTAATGGGAATTTGTACTGGTACTGGGCTTTTCACAGGAGAACTGGCCCAGGAGAAAGACTGAAGTAATAAGAAACATGCCCTCTCCTGCAGCTTGCCTGTCCTGGACTTCATCATCAGTTTCTCTCTTCTCTTTCCCTCTCTTCTCTTCTCCTTTTTTAGGAACCACGATGACCCTTGATGAGGCAATAAGGAGTCTCATGGGGAAGGGGTTCTACCTGGGCCAAGGGCCTGTAAGGAAGCCCTTCATCTTGGTAAACAAGGGTGTGAGCCAAGAGAATTAGGGACAGATCCCTCTTTCCCTCCTGGTAATGATGCATGGGGCTTTTGGGGTCACTGAGGAACTTGCTTAGACGCCAGAGAGCATAGCTCTTCCCTTTCCATTGCTTTGTAACCAAGGTCCATTTGTAAAAAAAAGACAATAAAAAGAGTTTGCTCAGAGCCCTGGACCCTGTTTGTCTGGTTTTGTGCAGAAAGTCAGGAAGAAGATGATAATGTGAGCCTATACAACACTGCACACTAGTATCTTCCACTACCTTTTGAACTTCTGTCCAAAGCATTAAAACAAAGAGACACCAATCTGACCTGCTCCTGAAGAAGCTGAAGTCGGCTGTTCCCAGTCACAACTCTCCAGACTTTCCAAATAGCCAATAGTGAGACTCTTGTCCCAACTCAGTGCCCTTTTCTGGGGCAGATCTCTCTTAAAGGAACATACTCTTGACAATAATCATTTTTGAAAACTCAAATAAAGAAGAGATTTTTGGGGAAAACCCTGGCAAGAAAGGAAGAACAGGCTTTCTAACTCCTTCACAGAGGGAATGTGCAAATTTGGCCAGCTCAGGCCCTTATGTGAGTGGTTTGGCTAGCACAGAATTTGAAAGCATTTTGGCCATGAATACCACAGTTTCCCTCACTTCTTTACACATAGCCCATGCCCCTCCAGAAGGCCTCTAAGCTTGTGATGGCATTCCTAACTCCCCCACCCCAGTGCTTCTGTTACTCTGCTCCCTAGACTCTAAGGAGCTGGCTGCTGCCTCTCCAACATCAGCTTCTCTGACTTCTCTTGCTGCTTTGACCTAAGTGTGTACAATTCCTCATTCCGCTTAGGTCTAGCAGACAGGATTGAAATACTTTCCAAAGAAACTTTACTTAAGAAGCTAAATGAAACAAAATCTAAAAAAGGAAAAGCAAATAGGAGCAGATATGTAGCATAGTGGTTACAAATCAGTGGCTAACCTCAGGGTCAGCAGTTCGAAACTACCAGCTATTCTGAGAGAGAAAGATGAGACTTTCTGCTCCCGTAAAGATTTATAGCCTTGGAAACCCTGTACAGGGTCACTATGAGTCAGAATCTACTCCACAGCACCATATGTATCTGTAGTACAGACTGAGATAGTGCAATCCAGCCCAAAACTGGCCTGGTTCACATAACTCAGGAAGCACCTCATCCTTCACCCTCCAGCTCCCAGCCCTCCTCACATAGCCTCTTAACTCAGAAGGACTTACAGATAGAGTTACTAGATTTGGAGTTAGTCCCTTTCAGAGCCTGTTTTCTAAATTCACCTCATGTGGTGCTATAGGATAAGCACTGGACTGCTAACTGCAAGGTCAGTAGTTCAAACTCACCAATTGCTTCTGGGAACCCCTATACAGGGTCGCTATGGGTCAGAACCAACTCAACCGCACTTAACAACAATAAAAGTTGTTTTCCATGGTCTTGGTATAACATTGTAGGCTAAACATTGGACTGCTAACTGCAAGGTTGGTGGTTCAAACTCACCAGCCACTCCTCAGAAGCTCTATACAGGGTCGCTATGAGACAGTAAAGCTCTGGTAGCATAGTGGGTTACATGTTGGGCTGGTAACTGCAAGGTCAGCAGTTCAAATCCACCAGCCATTCCACGGGAGAAAGATGAGGCTTTCTGCTCTGTAAAGATTTACAGTCTTGGAAACCCTGCACAGGGTCACTATGAGTCGGATCTGACTCCACGGCACATACCCACCACCATCACCATGAGTCGGAACTAACCTGACAGCACTTAACAACTCCTGTGGCCCTGGTCATGCCCTGCAGTGTATCTCCATCGATCTGTGGATTCTAACCTGATCTTTCCTTCTAAATGAGAAAGTCTCCAGCCTCCCTTCTGTATAGTAGCTAAGGGCCCTGGAAGTCCAGTTCTACAGTTCATGTCTTTTATTCTCTTTTTTTAGACTGAAAGGTGCTCACTCACTAACCATATTAGAGGCAGGTCTACCTTTAGTGGGGTAAACTTAACTACCTTTAGTGGCGCTGGAAGATCAGCACTGGACTTCAAACCACAAAATGGGCAGTTCAAACACACCAGCTGCTCCTCGGAAACACGATACAGGGTTGCTATGAGTCAGAACTGACTTGACAGATCTTAACAACAAACAATAACAAAGTTATTTTGTCTAGTCTAAGAAACCATCTGGGACTTGTCTTTGAGGAGGGGGCTGATAAGAACCTCTGAAAGCAGGAGTTAATGTCTCAAGATAAGTTGCCAGCACCAGACCCTGAAAATCTTCTACCCTTCCCTTTCCTAGTGTTTTTTAAAAATCTGATGGGTGTATATATTTCTCTCTTCATTTTCAAAACAAATGAGTAACACTTCCTGAGTGCTAATGAATGCTTGATCCCTTTCTAACTCAGGTATGTCTTTCCACATTCCCAGTTGCCCTCCTAAAAATGGTGCCCCAGAGAACAATGTCACAGAACTCAAGTCATCACTTCAACAGTATCAAATTTTTAAGATTATAATGACAATAGTGGAGTCCTGATGTGGCACTAAAAGATAAGCTAACTATAAGGTCAGTGGTTCAAACCCACAAACAGCAGCTCCTCAGAAACCCTATACAGAATCACTATGAGTTAGAACCGACTCATCATTGGCACTTAACAACAACAACAATTACAACAGTATGAGTAGGGTACTTTTGTCCCATTGGTACACCCCACCCCCAGATTCCTCCCCAGAGACAGACTTGAGCCTTGTCTTGACACTGAGGTAGGGGTTCACAGCCTAGATTGTATTTCTATTTATTTCACTTACATGGTGTGGGTGGGAGAGTTTTAGGGCTTGTTTCTACAGGACCGATCCTAGTAAAGCTAAGGGTGAGATGTTCTGAGAAGCTCTATTCTTCACAGCCCCTTTCCTGACCACCACTGTTGTCCTCCAGGAAGAACTCTCATTCCCAAATAGGTAAGGAGATTAGGGGGAAAGACCTGATTAGGACAAAAGACCTGATTAGAGGAATAGATGGAACACAGTTAAAAAAAAAAGAGAGAGTCATATGGAGATGACTTTTTGTGTTCCAGGGCTGCTTTGCTCTTATTTTGTGTTGCTTTCTTTTGTTTCCACAATTCCTGAAGGTAGAGGAAAGGGAGACACCAACTGCGGAAAGAAGTACAGGCCAAGACCTGAACTCCACAGTTCTGGTTTTGTGGGCTGACAGGAAGGGTGGTTTCTTGACCGTTTGAGTTCACTGCTCATCAGGAATCTATAAGAGAAGTTGAAGGAGAGTGGAGTTATCCTCTCCTGATTATCTCTCCTGCCGAACCACAGACTCCATCTTGGCTCCACTCAATACAAGTTCATGACATCTCCTGTCAAGTTCACTGCATCAGCCAGGCTAATGGAAACTCACCTCTGGTCTTGGGTGTAGAATAGCAGAACTGACTTCTCTGGGAAGGGACTCGGGAGTTGGGGGGCAATGGAGGAAGTCCTCTTCCTTGTGGCTGGATATGGTTGTTCTCCATGTTCTCCAAACAATCTGACCTCCACTCCAACGTGGAAAGTGATAAGCTCGAGGTCAGGTAGAGACCATCCCGGGAGGAAGGCAATGAAGAGACATCTATCAGGATGGTTAAAAAAAAAAAAAAAAAAGCTGTGGAGGCTTGGTCTTCAGCCTGAGAGTCCTAAAGCTACCATAACACCAACTCAGTCATCAATCCCAGGTCATAGTCCTAAAGGCTCTAATCCCTAGGAAAAGGAACATGGTCCACTGGTTCTTTAGAGAGAATAGCTTGAATTGCTTCCTCCCAGTCCAGTTTCTGGACACCCATTTTATCCCTCCATTATCCTTCTGTCTTGTATAATCCTTGCCCTGTTTATCACAAACCTGGTTATTTTTCTTCAGGCCAAAGGGTAGAATTCAAGTTAGTGAGATAGATATGTCATGGAACCAGATAGGGTATACAGTGATGGGACCACAGTATGGGCCTGGGGAATACTGTGCTCCCTTCTACTGCTGACATGGAGACAGTGACCCCACTCTGCTAGATATGTGAGGGTGTGAGTTCAGCTGTTCCTCACCTCAGCTGTGGCAAGTGGAAGAGTTTGAAAGCATGACAGGAGGTCAGAGAGAATATGCCATTTCCTAATATTGAGTAGGCATATGAAACACTGAATTAGAGTAAATAGAAGCGTCCACAGACCAATCTTTCCTGGAGACCCAGGCCTGTAAGAGGAAAGTTTGGATAAGGCAGGGGAGCTAACAACATAATTGGCTATCTCAAGGCTTTAGAACAATTTGTCCTTATTCTTGTAGATGACTTTGGTCATATTAATAATCCTGTCTGGTTTATAGTTTCCTCATTTGGAAATGAGTGATAGAGAATATTCCTCATAGAGTTGTTAACATTAAATGCATGTTAAAGATCTATAATAAAATTGTTTGGTATAAAATCAAATATATATTTTCTATAATAACATCTAAGGAGCTCTGGTAGTGTAGTGGTTACGAATCAGGCTGCGAGCCGCAAGGTCAGCAGTTCAAAACTACCAGTGGTTCCGCAGGAGAAAGATGAGGCGGTCTGCTCCCGTAAAGATTTACAGCCTCAGAAACCCTGTGTAGGGTCGCTATGAGTCGGAACCGACTCCACGGCACACAACAACAACAACAATAATAACATCTGATTTTTAAGAGTACAAATTATTTTTCAAGATTTACTAAATGTGCATCAGACACAGTAGCACTGATTTTATAAGCCATCTAAATAGACAATAAAGTGGACATGTTGTTAAGTGCCATCAATTCAGTTCTGACTCCTAACAACAATGTATGGGGTTTCCAAGGAGCAGTTGGTGGGTTTGAACCACCAACTTTGTGGTTAGTAATCCAGTGCTGATCCTACAGTGCCATACCAGGACTCCATCACAGTGTCTAGAACATAGTAATCATTTATAAAAATGGTAATGATGAAGGTAATTAGGAAGCTTTGCCTCTTGATTGGGGAGAAGGGGCAGTTTTCTTGGAGCTGCATCCACTTTAAAGGGTGGGAGCTAAGAACTAAGAAAGGGGTGACTTTACATACCAGTGAAGACACAATCTGCCTCCCTAGGCTCCAGACCAAAGTCAAAGCTGTCCACAGCCACTGCCAGAGCATGGGCAAAGTGAGCATCAGCCAGGAAGGAACCATCGGAAGAGCTGACAAGGCTGGCTCTGGCACTGGGAGCATTGTCCTCAGAGGCGGAGCCCCAGCCATTGGCCAAGGAGCCCTCACTGGGTGTAGGGGTGGGGCAGGGCCGAGGTGGGCACAGCAGGCCACCCACTTTGGACCCTACCCCTCCTTCAGCCCTGTCGATGTCTGCTAGCTCTGAGGCTGTCAGCACGCTGATGTACCCATAGGTGATGGGGGGTGAAGGAGGCCTTGGCACAGGAGAGACACTATTCCTATGAAATGGCAAAATGGGAAGCATAAAAATAGTTAAGGTGGGGTAGGGTGCATAGTAGCAGTTAAGCTTGGGTAGCAGTGCAATGTCTAATAAGCACTTCCCTGTAGTTTTTTGACTTTCTCTTAGGCTACTCACCTGGGGGTCTCTTCACCTTCACTGAGCTCCAGGCAGAGGGCCACCTCCTCAGGGGTCAACACACTATTCTGATCTTCCCCCAGGGATGACAGAGAATCGCTAGACAGGCAACTGGAAGCCAGACTGGGACCAGAGAGTGAACAGGTCCAGGGACTGTAGGGGCTAGGGGGACTTGAGGGGATAAAGATGGGAATAGGGGCTGCTGGCAGCGGGAGGGAGGAGGAAGCTTGCGACTCCACCAAGGGCCTGATTGGGTAAGAAAGTGATAGCAGAATGGTTAGTTCAGTTATTGAGTTCCCTGTCTACCCATCTCCCAGCTCCTGTGTAATCCAGTAAACACCGCTTTCCCAACCCCACAGCATTGCTTTCCGAGACTGGGCCCTCTTACTGGGTCTGTTTACTCTGAGTGGGGGTTCCATGAGGAGAGGGTGGTGCAGGAGGAAGAGGTTGATTAGCCGGGAGCTGGGGTCCCAGGGCCCTCCAGGCAACCAGAGCTCTGGACACAATTCCTGGAAAACAACAACATAGACATGAGGATAGCAGAGCCAAGCAGCCCCACACCCAGTCTAGCCACTGCCCATCCAAATCACTTACCCACCCAGGACCTCCTCAGGGATAAGAGAAATGCCGGTACAGGGCTTGGGCTGGTGGACCCCTACCACCCTGCCTTAACCCCTCTCTGGGTCTACCTCTCACCTTTGCTTTCGGAATGGTTCTTAGTGTCTCTATCCCCTAGCTCCCAGGCCCAGTGCCCCATTGGGTAGCTGGTCCGGAGCAGTGGGGAGCTGTTGGCCTGGTGCAACTCTGCAAAAGAAAGAGTCAGTGATTGCAGGACAAGCCAAGTATGCCTTTCAGACATCAACCCTAGGGGACATCTTTGATTTTGCTATTCAGTTAAGCCTGTGGAACCCTGAACCCATAAAAAAATAAGGAAGAACCTCCATCCATCCTCTCCACCTTCATCCAGGTAGCTGTGATAGGGTGGAAAAACATTGGGCTTGGAGTTAAAAGACCTGCATTCATAGGCCACCTCAGCCCTATATAAGCTGTGAGACCTCAGAAAAATCCACAAACATTTCTGAGCCTTAGTTTCATTTGTAAATGGCCAGACTTTCTGAAAGTTCCTGGTACCTAATAGATACTTTAAAAGGAATATTCTTTTTTTCTTTATACCCTCACATTGTTACCCTTCTCATGAATTTCAGCTCTATGTAGAAAAATACTCCTTTTCTTGGATTGAATCTGTTAATTCCACTTCTCACATGGCAAATCTCTTATATGGCTCTGGATAATCCTGTCTTAGGAGACTTTAATGTCTCTCACAGGGCTCTGGTATATAATGGTGCTTATCAAATGTTTGCTGAGTGGAATTGGTTTCAGATACAGGGTCTCCTATGATGTTGTTGTTAAATGCCGTTGAGTCAATTCTGACCCATAGTGACCCTATATAGATTTTCCAAGGAGCAGCTGGTTAGCTTGAACCACGGACCTTGCAGCATGGTCAAACTGAAAGAAGACCTCAGTGTAAAGAAAAGCCAAGGTGAGCACACTCCCAGCTGAGAGCTTTGGTGATAGGGGAAAGAGACCTGTGAACACTAGAAAAGGAGATGCAAGTCACGGTAGAGTGCAACCTATAACTTGTCTTGAGGTCTTGAGGACTACATCCTACCACATTCCATTCCTCATCCCTCTACCTCTAGCTTTAGGTTCTACCTATTCACCCCATCCTTACCTTGCTTCTTTTTGGCCTTCCAGGCTTCTGCAGGAGCCAACGACAGGCGAGAAGAGAGTTCTTGGCGGCTGCAGAGGCTGTCTGAACTGGACCAGGGGCTGGAGAACCGGGCCAGCTTGGCTGGGGGGCACCTGACAGCTGGGGCCTTGGGGCTTGGCCTAACTGGGGAACTGGAGGGCAGCTCAGTGATGAGGGAGCCATAAAAAGTGCTGGTGTCTGGAAGCAGAGGCACACCGGGGCTTCGAGGGTCCCAGGAGATCACTACAATGAAAATGACAAGAGGAATTATAGTGAGCACATCTCATCCCACTCACCCCTATCCCTGGGATCCTTGCTCCCATTTAGGCCTTTGTTCCTATAAAGCACACTCACAGGAGCGATGGTAGTCTAGAGGGACCCGGGGGTCAACTCCCAGCTGGCTGTTGAGGCTGCTGCTGCTGCTCAAGTCCCGAGAACCAGAGGTAGAATGCCAAATGTCTGCCAGCCAGGGGGAGTCACTGTGGTCCATTCTGGGGCAGTGGTGGGGTAGGGGTGGGATGGGGAGAAAGAGAGGTGAAGTAAGATCCTATTTGGCCAAGACTTCCAGCTCAGAAAGTAGCTGAGGAGCCCTTCATAGACCTCTAAACCAAGGAAAATGGCACCAGCCAGTTTGGCACCTTACTTTCGGCAAAGAAAATGGCAGTAAAATGGCAGCCCAAGGTCTCAGAGGTAATGTTGTTATGTGTCATTGAGAGGCTCGCCACAAGAACAATGGATTAGGAACTCAGAAGGTCAGCTACTAGGTTGTAGCTTCAGAACAAGTCATTTGAGTTAATAAGTATTCCAGTAAGGTGGCATGATTGGAGCATTAATGAAAACTAATTAATGAAAAAGAATTCTGCTACTAGGATCCTAAAGTGGTTGTAGGGGAGACTGGTTCTCCATCCAGTTCTCTGTTCCAGCTCCATTGTCACTTGGCTCCTCTGCCCCTCCCTCTCACCTGTGTTTTAGGATGGCATCCTCATCTCTCACCTGTGTTTTAGGATGGCATCCTCACTGGTATATCGGTATAGACCTGGGAAAGGGCAGGAAAAAGGTTAAATGTAATATCTCTATCACCTGTTCAGAGATCTAGCCCTCTTGCAGCATTGTGGCTAGACCCAGGAGATGCCTGACCACCTGGGGGTCACCACTTTCTTACCTGGGCCTAGGTGCATCCCAGCTCTGCGCCTGCGGTGGACACACAAGGCAGTGCCCAGCAGCAACAGCCAGAGCATGACCCCTGTGCTGGCAATAACCTCTGGTCGCCTCAGAGTGGCTCTCAGTTGTTCCAGGGTCTGGGTATCAGGGTCACTGGGCTCTTGGGCAGCTTGCTCCTTGGTCTGCTCTGTATGGGATTTGGAGCTTAGCAGGGAGAGGCAGATGAAACAAAGCAATAGAAAAGGAGCAGAGAGAGGAAGGATGTGGGCAAGTGAGGATGGAAGCAGGATGGGAGGAAGGTGGGAATGAAGATTGAGGGGTGTGGAAGGGGCAAGTGGGCACTGCCCTCACCTAAAAGGAGGCAGACAGGGCTACTGGGCTCCCCAGCCCCAGCGCCAGTAAGTGCAGCAACTTGCACACAATAGGAGCCTGATGTGTGAGTGGAAATCTCCATTTGGGTTTGCTGGCTTCCCACGGTCCAGTTAGCTGGGGGCAGTGAGGTGTTGCCCATGCTCCACACCTTGGCACAAGCAGAGGTAGGCATCTGTTCCCTAATACCATCTCAGTCATTAGAACCTTCATCTCCAAACCAGACTATAAGCACATGGTTAGTCTGCCCTGCATGCACCCACACATGGGGATACCCTCACAGGCACCCACACATTCTATCCCACCTTCTGCCTCCCTACCCTCACAAAGCAAGAAAGACAGCTGTAGCACTGAATAAAATGTAATCTTCCAAAGTTTGCTTTGGACCAAGCGTCTCAAACTTCAGTGTCCTTCAGAATTATTTGGAGCACTTGTTAAAATACAGGTTGCTAGGCCCATGCCTAAAGGAGCTCTGGTAGTGTAGTGGTTATGAATTGAGCTGCTAACGTCAGGGTCAGCAGTTCAAAACTACCAGCTGTTCCGCAGGAGAAAGATGAGGTTTTCTGCTCCCGTAAAGATTCATAACCTCGGAAACCCTGTACAGGGTCGCTATGAGTCGGAACTGACTCCACGGTACATAACAACAACAACAACAACAACAGGCCCATGCCCGAGTTTCTGATTCAGTAGGCCTGAGGTAGTAGTGACATTTGCTGTCAATTTGGTTCTCAACTCATGGCAATCCCATGCACAAAGGAACTTTGATTCTGCTGCCCAACTCTGCTCTATCCCTATTATAAGACCAGACAATTGTGATCCACAGGGTTTTTACTGACTGATTTTCAGAGGGAGATCACCAGGCCTTTCTTTCCACCTTGTCTGAAAGCTTTGCTAAAATCTATTCAGCAGCATAGCAACACACAATCCTCCAATGACAGACAGATGGTGATTGTGTTTGAGATACATTGGCCAGGAATAGAACTTGGGTCTCCAGAATGGAAGAAGAGAATTCTACCACCGATCCAACAATGTTTTATCATGCTTGGAACAGAAACCAAGAATTTACATTTCAAACAAGTTCCTAGGGGATGCTAGTGCTCTTGGCTCAGAAATAAAATCTTGAGTCCCACTGTCTTAGAGGCTGAAATCCTGGTGTGGCAGTTAGGATAAGCACTGGACTGCTAACAGCAAGGTCAGAGATTTACCCTTATCAGCCACTCCTTGGAAACTGTATACAGGGTCACAATGAGTTGGAACCAACTCAATGGCACTTAACAACAGCAGCCACTGTCTTAGAGATTTAAAGTCAGACACCGCCTGTTTTAGTTCCTGTTTCTTATGCCTGTAATCTTAGTCTCACTTCCTATGTCTGTAAATTGATAATATAACCCAGGTGACCTGAAAGATGAACTGAGATCATATAGGTAAAGTGCTAGGCAGTGTCTGGAGGCTGTAGGTTCTTGCTCAACAAGTATATGTTTTCTTTGCCTCTCTAGGCAGAGTTGGGCTGCTAACTGAAAGGTCAGAGGTTTGAACTCACCAGTCACTCTGTGGAATAAAAAAGAGATAGTCTGCTTTCAGCTTTGGAAACCCTATGGGACAGATCCACTTGGTCCTATAGTGTCATTATGAGTTGAGATCAATGATGACAGTGGGGTTTTTGTTCTATTTCTCTGCAGAGGTTCTGTTTCTCAGTGCCCAGAGCAAGAGTATGAAGGACACCAGGAGAGAGAGATGTCTTATTTCCTCTAGATTCCTCTGTGTCAGCTTGTGGGGTATACCTGGTAGCCACGGATGATGCCATTGTGGTTGTCTGCAGGTGGTGGGACCCAGTTCACAAGGACACTGCCATTGCTGGGTTTCAGGGTCACTTCCTGGGGTGGGGCACTGGGAACTGAAGGCAAAGAACAGAGGACATAAAGGACAATGAAGGAGAGGATCTAGGATAAAGAGCTGGAACAAGGAACTCAAAGTCAGAGTTCCAAGTGTCTGAGCCCACACTTATGGGAATAAGAGTTTCATGTATCTCTGCTTGTCCAGTCTGGGCAGAAGGAGTAGGCCCCACCCCCACCCTCGAGTGGAGTGGGACAGAACAAGAGGCTAGATAGTTTATGTAGGGCCATAGGGAAGTGGGGGGTGGTGTATGTCCCTAACCTTGTTCTGGTAGCCTCAGAAGCAGCACGTTGCTGTCAGGGCCTTGAGCCCGGCCGGAGTATGGTCTCACTTTGAACTCATAGTCTCGGCCCCAGTGGAGGCCCCTAACCTCTGCACTCTGCCAACCAGCCAGTATGACCTCTGCCCATGGAGCTTCCTGGCCTCCTGGGGGAGGCTGGACCCTGAAGAAGGCCCTGTAGGACTGAGCAGGTGCAGCAGGGCCACTCACCTGAGGAAGAATTTAGGAGAAAGGATGAAAGGCCATGGAGTTCATGACTTTCTTGAGTTTAGGGCTGGTTTATATATCCTTAAGTCTTGGACCTCACCTTCCAGCTGAGCCACACTGCAGGCCTAGGTTTGGAGCCCTTTACTGAGTCAGGGTTCAGCAGGGTCACGTTTTCTAGCTGAATGTGCACAGCTAGAAGCTCCAGGGGCTCCTCATGGTCATGGGGTTCTGTGGGAACATAGGGTTGGAAATGGAATGCTCAGGCCAGAGGGAAGGAATCCTACAGCCACTGAAAACCCATAACTTCCCAATTTCCCAGGTCTAGTGTAGTGGTTATGAATCAGGCTGCTAATCTCAAGGTCAGCAGTTCGAAACTACCAGCGGTTCCATGGGAGAAAGATGAGGTGTTCTGCTCCCGTACAGATTTACAGCCTCGGAAACCCTGTGCCAAGGTCACTATGATTCAGAACCAACTCCACGGTACTTAACAACAACAACAAAGCAATCTAAGGAGTCCTGGTGGCACAGTAGTTAAGTGATTGACCACTAACCAGAAGGTTGATGGTTCATGCCCAACAGCTACTCCATGGGGAAAAGAAGAGGTTGTCTGCTTCCAAAAAGATTTACAGCCTTGGAAGCCCTGTGGGACAATTCTATTCAATGGTCACAGATTTGGTTCAGTGTTAGAGCACTCCTGTGTATACTCTGGACTCCTGGTGTGGTGCTAGAGGATCAGCACTGGACTATGAACCACGAGGTTGCCAGTTCAAGCTCACCAACTGCTTCTTGGGAACGCTATACAGGGTCATATGAGTAGGAGGCAACTCGACAGCACTTAACAAAACATGTATAGTCTAGCAGTGGAAGCATACCCCCACTCAACATGGGCCCAGATTAAGACCTGCATACCCTACTCCCCATTAAGACTAGACCACATTACTTTAATTGGAGCCTCCCCCCTACCTTGGCCCCAACATTAAATGACATCTACCCTTACCCCGGACAGATACCCTGGCTGCCCGGCTCTCCCGCTGCCCGGCATTGTTGGTGGCCACACACATGTAGGTCCCCGAGTCGCTCTTCTCTGCTTTTGCCACCAGCAGGGAACCCTTGGACACCTGATAGGGCCAGAGACACTGTAATATCTCCCATGTTAGGAGGAGATCACTGTCACCCCTTCTACCATTCTGCCCGGGGAGGTGGGACTGTGGGGGCTGGTCAGTCCATTAGGGTATGCCCAGCTGTGCCCAGGGTAGGATGAAGTATGGGGCTGGGACTGTACTCACTGTGTGCTGCCCTGGATGTAGGATCAGGGGTTTCCCATCTTTCCACCAAGTAACTGTGGGCTCTGGGAGACCCCAGGGTGGCCCACACTCCAGAATAATCTGGTCACCCACCACAGCCATCATGTCCCGAGGCTGGATTTGGAAGTCCTCCCGCAGGACTGTGGGGTCAATGGAGGAGAGGAGAGGAGGTCTTATCTCAGCTACCTCCTATCCTACTCATCCTATTCTGCTTTACCTACCTTTTTGCTACATATGTTCACTTCTCAGAGCCTTATAGCTGAGGTATACCAAAAAGAGGCACCCCAACGTAGGCCTCCCCTGACAAACATCTAATCACTCTTTCTTCACTTTAGGCATCCAACCCCAGATATACTTCATCCTGCCCTCCCAGACTCTCACCAGGCACAGACAGCTGAGCACCTCGGCTGACAGCTGTGCCCAGCTGATTGCTGGCCTCACAGGTGTAGACACTCAGATCTGTAGGTAGGGCCTGAGCATCATAGGCATGATCCCAGGCAGGGGGTCGCATCAGCAGGAGAGTTCCATCAGGAAGGAGATGATGTAGGTACGGTGGTGTCATGCTCAGGGGCTGCCCATTCAGCAACCAGCGGATGGTGGGAGGTGGCTGTCCTGAGGCATGGCAGCTCATCTTGGCAGGGCCAGGGCCCTGGAGCAGCTGGTCCTGGGGGTGGATGAGGATCTGGGGTGGGAAGTCCTGAGCCATGTTTCCTGGGAGGGAAAGGATAGTGGAGCCCTGTCTGACTACTGACTCCAAATCAAAACCAACCCACTGCCTCATAGTAACCCTAGCACAGAGTAGAACTGCCCCGTAGGGTTTCCAAGGCTATAAATCTTCACAGAAGCAGATGGCCACATCTTTCTCCTGTGGAGCAGCTGGTAGATTTGAACCACCAGCATTTTGGTTCGCAGCCAAGTGCTTTAACCACTGCACCATCAGGATCCCCAAATGCCTGATCCATATGCATCTGCTCACTCTCTCACACACACTCCTTTGAAACCCTCACTGAAAAAGAGAAGCAAAGGAGCCTCTTCTCCACTTGGGAAGCCTTGTATTCAGAGTACATGGGCTAGAAGATCAAGGGACACACTCACCCATGCAGAGTGGAAGCAGGAAAGCCAAGGTCCACCTGGCCCTGAGGAGGCCCACTCCTCCAGATCCCATAGCTGTTCTCAGACCTGTCTCCTTGTCCCAACCACTTTGTTCTACTGCTCTGAAATCAACAACGGAAGGGGAAGAAGGGGCGGGACTGATGGTAGTTGTTTGTGACTGGGACTGTGTTCTAGAGGGAAGCAGCTTTAAGGAAACTGATGTTTCCTGTCTGGCCCTCCATGCCTTGGAGAACAAAGACAAGATCAGAGGAGGGAAACTCTCTGACTTTGACTCTTTTGTCATAAACCTTATCCTGAGGTTTACTTTGTATTCCAGTCTGAGATTTCTTAATGGTAATCCTCACACTAACCATAATTCCAATCATGTCCTTTAATCATTTAGCCCTAAACCTCTACTTAGACCATATCCCTGAGTCTCAATCCTTATCCCTTTGCTTCTAAGTGACCCCCTGCTGGAATAGAATGGATGTTTAGAAAGCAGATCTCAGGGCACAATATTAAGATGCTGAAAACAAGGAAAGGAGACTTTGAAATGATGAAACACAGTAGAGGAGTGTATTGTCATTTCATTTCCACTTACTCAGGCTAGATGAAGGTGGGATGCAGAATGGTGAAAGACAGTAAGAACATGAGTGTATCCATTTTAAGAACTTAACAAAAAAATCAAGCATTACCTGAGATATCACCCTTGCACACACACATACCTTGTCAGTCCCTGTTTCTTACATATATGCTTTTATAATGGTCACCTAGGATTAACACCTGGTCCCTCATTGTGTGGCTTCTGAAAGAGTAAACACCTACAAAGCAAGCACCAAGACAGTTAACTCTTTCCATATGTTTATCAGGACATTTGATAACCTTGTTAATTGATATGAATGTTAGAGTGATAATATTATAGCCTGCATGCATGCTGATTAACATTGTTAAAAGCAGGTATAGGCTTGAAGGCAGACTAGGCAGAAAGTCTGTGCAGACCCCCTGTCAGTGAAAGCATGGAAAATTGGGTAAAACAGATTCAGTAGACTATCCAGAACTCTGAACTTCAGATACAGTGATAAGTAAGTAGTTTGAGTGCTTACCAGGAGTAAGATTTGAAACAGGAGCAAGAAAGGAGGTGACTTCTTATCCAGGGCAGCTTGTGTGGTCCACCACAGCCATTGTAAATGGGAGTGAATGGAGAAAGGGACAAACAAGTGTTCCCAGAACAGAAACCAGCCAGGGATCTGCAGAAACAGAGTGTGAGTGGTTTTTGTTTTTTTCCTTATCACATCTATTTTTTTTTGCACTGTCTACTCATCTGCACACTGGTGACCAGAGGGGAGACTTGCATGTGTACACACCCACAGGGAAGGTACTACATTGTGTATGCAAGGTTTTGTGGTGCATGGAAGGATTAACACTGTTCTGCGCTGCATGGGGGAAGGTTTTGCACTGGGTGCAGGTGGAGACAGAAGAAAGCAACAGATCCAGAAATCTCTTCCAAAGTGGATCTGGCCAGACCTGGGCTAGTTCACACTAGGAGAGACAGGTAAATGGACTTGAGGAGAGGAGGGCAAGACAGGCCTGGGCCAGATCACATTGACACAGCGGGAGCATCATGGAATTTCTCAGTCGGTTTTGAAAAGAATCCATTAGGAAAGAATCCATTAGGTGGCACTAAAGAATTACTCATAGTCTTATGATTTCTCTCTCTCTCTCTCTCTCTCTCTCTCTCTCTCTCTCTCTCTCTCTCTTTATTTTGTTGTTGCTTTTCTGGGTTTCCCAGCTTTCTATATGTATGTTTCCTGGGTTTTTATGATGTTTGACTTTTATTTTTAGTCTTGAATTCTACCCCTGCTTCTATCTTGTGGGAAAGTTTTCTCCTCATGCCTCACCTGATAAGAGACAGCAACTGCGGTGATACAGCCAAGCTACAATTAAACCCTGTAAAATACCACCAATATGGCAAAAGCCAATACCAGCTACTATACACTAGAGCAGCATCGGCAACCAAAACCTGCTAAAAACACTCTGAAGTGAAGTGTAAGAGCAGTGAAGAGAGGAGATCATCTCCTAATCACACCTACTAGGATGCACATGGAGTGTGCTTAAGAATACACCATCAAACATTCACTTAATTAATACAAATAAAATAACACTAACAAAATGCCTAAAAAGCAGCAGAAATTTTCTGCTCAATGCAGAAACAAGATAGTAGCTCAAACAAATGACCAAGAAGAAGAGCTACGAATGACATTAGAAAGTGGTGAGGGATTGGAATTGTCTGATAGGGAATTTTAGAGAATGATATTGAGGTGCATCCAAATGCTCCACAGAAAATTTGAGGACAATAAGGAAGAAGTCATAAAACTGCTACAGGAACAATCAAACAAATAGATACAGCACTGGAGAAAGCACAAAAGCTGCAAAAAAGTCCAGATGATCAACACTAAAATATCAGAAATTGACAATACACTGAAAGTGCAAAGCAGTAGAATTGAAGGTATAAAAGCCAGAATCAACGAGCTTGAAGATAAGTTTCACAATACTGCAAAGACAGAAGAACAAGCAGAAAAAAGAATGAAAAAATCTGAAGTAAGCCTAATTCATATGGGACAATACAATAACCTGAGGCTGGTTGGAATTCCAGAAAAGGAGGCAAAGAAAACCACAAATTAGATCATTGAAGAGCTGCTGGAAGAAAATTTCCCTAACATCTTGAAGAATGAGAAGATAAGCATTCAAGAAGCTGAATGAACTCCAGGAAGGATAAACCCCAAATGAAAATCAGCAAGACATATCATAATCAATCTCTCCAAAATCAAAGACAAGGAGAAAATCCTGACAGCAGCTAGGGAAAAAATTTTCTCATGCAGGCAAGAAGACGATGGGGATACATATACAAAACTATGAAAGAAAAAAAAAAAAAAACTGCCAGCCAAGAATCATATACCCAGCAAAGCTGTCAATCAAATATAACAAAGCAGGATACACAGAAATTAATGGGTTTGTAAAAGCTAAGACAGTGTTCCAAAATATACTAAAGGTAGTTCTTTGGACTGAGAATCAACAACACAAGACAACAACCAGAGATTGGCATACATGGCAACATCACTGGAAACTCAATCAAGAGATGGAAGAGTCTAGAGAAGAAAAAAACTACAAGAATGAAATTAAGATATCTGGGAGGTTAATCTGTGATCAGGATAACTACCAAGCAAAAGAAGGGAAAAATATAGTAACAGATATCTAGGTGGTGAGAAAGTCAGGTAAAGCTCAGAATAAAACAGACTGTCAAAAAAGAGGAAGAACTCAATAAAATATAGGGTAACCTCAAAGAAACTTAATACATCACCACATCAAATCAAGAAAAGGAAAGTCCAAGAAGAGTGTGGAAACATTAAAGCTATGAAGAAATTGACAGGAAAAAGCACACAGACAAAAATGAACTCAGCACAGGAAAGCATACAAAACAAAGACACCAACAGCACAACAAAAAACAAACAGCATAATGACAGCATTTAATCCATACCTATCAATAAGTACACTGAATGTCAGTGGATTAAATGCACCAGTTAAGAGACAGAGAGTAGGAGAATGGATTAAAAACAGGATCCTTCAATATGCTATCTACAAGAGACATACCTAACACACAAAGATGAAGATAGATTAAAAATTAGAGGACAGGGGAAAAAAATCCCTTGCTAATTGCAATTAAAAAAAACAAGCAGGAATGTCAACATTAATCTCAGATAAAATAAATTTTAAGGCAAAAACTTTAAAAAACAAAACAACAATAAGAGACAAAGAAAGGTGTTATCTCATGGTTAAAGGGTCAATTGAGTAAAAGAACATAACCTTAATAAATATCTATGATCCCACTGAAAAATCCCCAAAACAAATAAAGAAAACCCTAATAGAATTGAAGAAAGAAATGGACAACTCTACAATAATAGTGGGAAATTGTAATATACTGCTTTCAAAAAAGGACAGAGTAACCATAAAGAAACTCAGCAAAGACAAAGAGGAACTAAAAAACACAATCAACAACTTGACCTTATAGATTTGTACAGAGCATTTAACCCAACAACAGCACAATACACATTCTTTTCCAGTGGACATGGAACATTCTCCAGAATAGATCACATGCTAGGCCACAAAGCAAGTCTTAATAAATTTTAAAACCAAAATACTGCAAATCATCTTCTCAGATCACAATGCTATAAAATAAGAAATTAACAATAGGAAGATCAAAGAAATAAAAATCATATGCAGGGAAGCTGGATAACACCTTGCTTAAGAGCTACTGGGTAGTAGAACCAAAAAAAAAAGGTGAAATTAAAAAAGTTCTAGAACCAATGAGAATGAAAATACAACATACCAAAACCTTTGGGACACAACAAAAGCAGTGCTGAGAGGACAATTTATTGCAATGAATGCACATATCCAAAAAGAAGAAAGAACTAAAATCAACACATTTACACATCTGCAACAATTAGAAAAAGACCAACAAAGTTAAGATACATTCTCTAGAAGAAAAGAATTAATAAAGATTAGTGCAGAAATAAATGAGCTAGAAAAGCTATAGAAAAAATCAACAACAAGTTGCTTCTATGAAGATTAATAAAACTGGCAAGCCATTGGCAAATTTAACAAAAGAGGGAGAAGATATAAATAACGCACAAAGGAAACCACATGGGTGATGTCACAACAGAAACAATAGAACTAAAAAGGATAATGAAGAGTTGTACTCCAACAAATTTGAAAATCTAGAGGAAATGGATACATTTTTAGAAAAACACAACATACCTAAATGTACACAGAGGAAACTTGAACAGAACTATAACAAAAAAAAAAATTGATCATTTCATCAAAAACTGAAAACCAAAATAAGTCCAGACCCAGATGGCTTTACTGGCAATTTTTATCAAAAATTCATAGAAGAGATGAAATCAATTCTACCCAAACTATTCCAAAATATAGAAAAGAATGGAAAACTTCCTAATACAGTTTACCAAGCAAGCATAATCCTCATACCAAACCAGGGAAGGACATAACTTACAAAAGGAA